GTCATGTTTCTTTTTTTTTTTTTTTTTTTTTTTTTTTTTTAACTGAAAACTCAGTTATGCGCGAGAAGCAGAGGCCACGAAGTTTCAACTTGTTCAGCAGAGAAAATATTTGCACTAACGTTGGAAAGGGAACTCCAACTCGACTCGTAGCCAGTCGTCTTTTGCAATTCTACATGGTCGATGGTCATCTTCGTCCGTTAGAATAATAAATACCAATGGCCAATGAGTGGTTCAGATTTGCACAAATACGTGGTACAACGTTTATCTAATTCTTCAATCGGGATTTCACACTGGGACTTCAAACTGGCAATTTTCCACTTTGTTCGATCAGTTCGATAGAATTAATTTGTTCAGAGCAAACCGAGACTTTTTCGATGCATTCGTGTATTGTTTTAATAACCGGTCCGAAACAATCAAACGTTTCGCGTGACTATCCAGCCAGATTGCATCTCGACGATCCGCCCAGGAGAGTAATGAAAGAGAGGTATGCGAATGAGGTGGCGATCATTACGACGAGTTATTAACCATCCCGGGTAAGGTATACTCTTGCATTCGAGGAGCATGTGTGGCAACGCATATAGGGTTGTGCATCCTCTCACTCCACTGCCCAAGTCTCTGACTGATAAATTCGCGTTGTTTTCTTCACTTGTGTCCCAATTTCTAGGAAACGATTTATTTCACGCGTATCCGACGATGTTGTTGCATCTTTGAAGATGATAAATCACGTCGAAAACGATCGAAACATGCCCCAGACAGAAAAGGCTTGTTGCCGCGTTAATTCGAGAAACGCGGCGGATAATTAGCATCGTAAAGAGGAGAGAATAATTTCTTATCTCCTACACGCGCGAAGTAGTATCTCGAGGCAGCAACTTCGGTGACGTTCGTCGCTCTGTTCATAGCTGGAATACAACAACAATAACGCGTTTGATTTACGATTAAGTTGTCTCTGTTGACTCCGCGCGACCGGTGGTGCAGATTGCGTGAAGGACTCGTAGCAGTTTTGCCAGACGACGATAAACTACGAGGAGGATCTACGAGAAGGGAAGAACTCAGTCTCGTGGACCGTCTCGTCTCGGACAGACGGACGTTTTATTTCGTCCAGGGCCACCTTCTGAACGAACCTCTCTCGTTACGGTAGAGTTGTACACGACTAACCAGGGAACTGCAGTTAAGACCGGCTAGACAATAAAAGTTGTCGTAAAGTTTGTCACTAAAAGTGTGTGCCGCCAGTTCGTTAATTTCTCAGATTTATTGGCGCGTAAACATGTTGAATCAATGTTCACCGCTGCCGCGAAACGGCATTATGAATCGTTATGCAAGGCTAATTTCTGATTGCTTTATGCACCGTCTGAACACCGTGAACGCTGGAGAGACTGCTTTGTTCGAGGGAATAAGGCATAGAGGGACACGGAGGTTGATGGTCATTGCTAATAAGGGAATGCTGCTCAATGTCTTGTTAAGATGCAATTGCGGGAGAATGTTCATTCAAAATGGAATTTCTTAGAGATTCTTCGAGGAAGAAGATATTTTATTTCTTCGCTATGCTTGAATCGTACTAATTATATTCCACCTCTGTCGAGATACATGATCGTTTAACTCGGCGCTAACCCTTAACGAGCGATGCTCGACTTTAACGATCAGGCGAAAAATCTCTTGTTTTCAATATTAAACTGCCGATTTTTTTAAAGCTACATCTCATAAAGAAGGATTTGTTTCAAGAGCCTTTAACATCTCTAGACCCCCCTGCGTTCCTACTTTTACTTGAATCTTACTTTCCTCTTACACAAAGAAATCTTCCAACCGCAGTAACCCGAATTCTCCGGCCAATTCGACAGATATCAGCTGACGATAGGATCCTACCGTGTTGCAGGTCCGCGCACGAGAAGGGTGAAGAGGTCGGACGGCCGTGGTAATGGCGGCACCCCCGAGGAGAAGCGGCCGCGGACCGCGTTCAGTGGCGAGCAATTGGCCAGGCTGAAGAGGGAATTCGCGGAGAATCGATACCTGACCGAACGAAGGAGGCAGCAGCTATCGAGGGATCTCGGCCTGAACGAAGCGCAGATCAAGATCTGGTTTCAGAACAAGAGGGCGAAGATCAAGAAGGCCAGCGGCCAGAAGAATCCGCTGGCCCTCCAGCTGATGGCCCAGGGTCTTTACAATCACTCGACGGTGCCACTGACGAAGGAGGAAGAGGAACAAGCGGCCGAACTGCAGGCGAAGTGACGACAATAAGATCGATCGAGTAATTGCGCGTAAATCCACCGACGAGACCTCGTTCGTCTCGAGACCTCGCCGAGAGTAAATTTCACCGCGTTGAAATGGCGGTCGCTGGAGGATGATAACGTGTCGTTGACGGAATATCTGACGAATCTGGTGGTGGAAACGAGAGTGAGAGAGCAAATGTACGCGTTAGTCTTAGGTTATTTAACGTTCCTCCTGTAAATTTTTTTGCGAAGGATTATTACCGAGATTAAGAAAGAAAAAAAGAAAAAAAAAAGAAAAAGAAAAAGAACTTGTGCTCCAAAGATCGCGTTTTCCTTCATTTTATGTTCGACTTTTGCGAAATTCGAAAATGATCGAACAGTCGAATTTGAGTCTGAGACGGAGGTTCGTAGGTTGGGTGTTTGTACTTCTACGTTTGCAAAATTGAGTTATTTATTACTTCGTGAAGAAAAATTCAGTGCCACCGGACGGCGACTATTTGAACGATTGCTGAACGAATTTGGACGATTCGTTGTCACAGAGCTTCCCATTGTAACTTCGAGATCGATGAAACCCGCGAGAGGAAAGCTCACGAGTTACCGGCGTTATGAATCGAATGATGGTGGTCGTGCGCGCGGCGATACGCAACGATAACTATCATTCAATATCGTTTGTAAGGGAGGAATCAGCACGCACGTTCCTATGTCGTGAATAATAAAACTGTCGTATTTAAATCTGGGGGAATGGACAGAATATATGAATAGTCGATCGGTCGTCGCAATTACACGCGCGAATCGCGTCAAGTCATGGTGAAATGGGTTGTACAGTGCCATTTGTACAGTTTTCTCGCGAACACAATAGATCGAAGAAAAAGCATATAAAACAGTCATCGTTCTTTGATAAAGGAACCAGTATTCGAAAGAGAGAGAGAGAGA